ACCAATTCAATATAGGTAATCTAAATTATTAGACGTATAATTTATATTGTGAGAGAGGAAGAAAAAAATACATCTCTCTATCTTCTGATAATACTCCTAGTTTTATAGTTTTATCATATATTTTTATTTTTTATGGTCAATAACGATATTTTATATTGTGTTAACGAACTTAAGAATAGCTTACGAATGAGCATTTTGTTCAATGTCCAACCAATTCTCATACTGCAGGATTTACAAAAACCATTGTGCAACACACTTACACACCTTCTCCTAATTATACTTGTTACAACTTTAGAACTTCATAAACACGTTTGTCAGCAGATTTCAATATTATATACCCAGTTTAATAAAAAACACAATTTAATAATATGTTTAAATATCTTGTGATGAAACACATCATAAGATGTATTTACAGTTTTTATTTTTAAAATTAAAAATATTATTACAATAATTTATAATGCTTTATAATTTGAATTATGAGCAGATTTTAAAAAGAATTCAAATACTATTGTAAATATTATTCTTTTATTATAATATTTTTTTTATTATTATAATTATTATTATGCTTATTTAAGCTTGAAAACTGACGAGACAACTTGACCGGAATACGTTTTTATAAGTTTACATGTTCATTGATTTTTTTAACTACATCACATTGTTATACGCGTGTAAGGTCAAACTAAGATGTACGTAATATGTTCACGTATGAAAATATACATTGCGTATCAATGTGATAATTAATTTTTCAACTAAAACATTATTTTAATTACAATATAGTCTGTATTGTATAACTATAATATGTTGTCTAGATTGTGTTATATAAGATTTAGTATCTATATGGATAATACTTATTGTAAAATATATTAAATTCAAGTGTAGCAAAAAAAAAAAAATTAGCGATTAAAATTTTAAAATGGAAGATTATGTTTAATATTTAAATAATTTAAATCTTAAAATGTATAAACCATAAATCATTAAATATCAAAAGACTATCTAAACACAGAAATCAATTTTCATATCAACATTAAAATATGATTAGCCACTGAATCTAATTTATCATTTGAAAACTTAGGAATTATGATATGATATCATTCTAACAATATTCAGTTCTTAATTTTTATTAGATAATAGTATACTATAGGTTAGGCTTCTAAATATCTTATATAGTTATACATTGATATTTAATTTGCAATATAGATAAGCTTAACAACTAACTGATAAATTATTTTCATTTAAATTATTTATGAATTTTTCATCAATGTTTCAAGTAATTTCTATAAGTATGTAATTACCTATATTCTCACCTTTTTTCTTATAATTTTGATATCTGCCATATGAGCGATTATAGGTGCTTTATGTTCAGTGGCGTTATAATTAGTTATTATGATTATAAAAAAAAATTATAATAGTATATAAATAAATTCTTATACAGGCTATTCGCTCGTATGTATATGTATGTATATTTCGTATAAATTGCTTAAACGAAGTATAAAACAGTGTATCAAGAATACACTTGATTATTTAATGATGCTAAGGGCGCAACTAAAAAAGTAAAATAAAATATGCTTATATATGTAATAATTAATACCAATAATGTAAAACTAAAAATACTTAAAATAAGTGTAAAGTAGTTATATTATATAATAATAAATCATAAATATAGTGAAATTTTAGGCTATTCAAGATAGATTATCATTTGATAATACACAATATAAAAATATATTTAGTATCAAATATTACAAAATACTTACGAAATAAAATATACGACGTTATAATATTATACCAAATTGCCAAGTTACAGTAATAATTTTTAAATTTTTGCATTATTACTACTAAATATAACAAAAGTCATGTTAAGTTAGAAATATAATTCAAAATTCAACTTCACCGTCCGTCAATTTATTCATATTTATTAGTTGATAGATATTTCAATACTTAAATCATTTATATTTTATAAGTTCAAAAAAAAAAATCCTAAAAAAAATTTTACGGTGAGATGTTTTTATTGTCATTATACAAAATTTAATGAATTTATTTATATTAATATAAATTGAAATTTAGGTTTTAATAAAATATTTATGTATGAAAATTAAAATACCTGTAGATATTTAAAAAGTTGCTATTACCATTTGTTGGTTTTTATCGATCAAATAATTTGAATTTAAATAATGTAAAAAAACTAGTCTGTTGACAAATTTAAAAATAATAATTAAATAAAATTTAATTTAACATTTAAATATCAATATGTTATTTAAAACCAAGTAAAAAGTTTGTAGGGGGAGGGTTAAAAATGTATATGGGCGCAAATATATTAATTGGCCAGGAGCACTGGTGGACCTCTCTGCGGTTTTGCATAATGCTACTATATTATCAATTATTACAATACTTAAAATCATACGAACAGATAAGCTAAGTACTTATTTATGCATTTTATATATTATATTTTTATATTATTTTATGTACTAAATTATTAGTTCCAAAAATATTATTAAGCTATTTAATCTATTATTATAACAAGTCATCGGGATTTTTTTCAGCGTTCTGCCTAGAAAATCTGCTTCTGGTCACAATGGAATAAAACTCTACATTTCGAATCTCTTACAAATTTGGCTTGACTTAAAATTTCGTGACACGGAGAAATATACACCATACAATATAAAATTTAGTTAATATAATTTCACGTTACCTACCCTACTGCCTATTTATGGAATGTTCAATTTCAAAATTCACTCGTTGATACATAATTTTACTATATAATAATAAATCATAAATTATAATTATTACCAATGGTATAATACGATATGCACCCGTTCGTGATTCACCTTGCACATCTATTACGCGAAAAGATAATTTAATAATTCGTATACAATAATAATACGATACATATATATATATTATATGTATATTATATAAGAAAAAAGTTTGTCGCGTTCACGTTTACCCTGTCACCACTAACCCAGACCGTTCTTCATGACCCTGGTATAACCTATTACACCGAGCATGGTTTTATTTTCCCTCCGCTCCAGGGGCATATCAGCCACGAAACCCTCGGAATACTACATGGGCGACCAACGCCTACCGCTCCCTCCTCGACTAAAAATCCATACAGGATATTACACGGCAAACACAGAGGCGCAAAAGCGATAAGGGTGCTTACCACATAGCACCCTGAACTCTACAACCACAAATCCTATGGTAGTACTTTTATCATTATATTGTCATGAAGAATTCGTTTAAAATTAAAAAATATATATATTTTATTATGTAAAGGATAGTTTTTTTAACAATACGAGACAATCTTTTCGAAAATGTTCTTTTTGAAAACTGTTAGATATACTACCTATACTTACATGTAAATCTAATATTTTCATATTGTGTTTATTTTTTCATTCTTGTATTTATTAGACGTTGGGTAATCCATATCTCAACTCTTGGTTTTTAAATCGCAACTTATATTTTTAATTTCATAGCCTGAAGTATGATATTTTTCTAAAAATTAAAAATATTGATGAAAATACAGATAAGTGTAATTATAATAACAATATTGAAATAATAATTGATAATTAACAATTATTTAGAGTTTTGATGGACGATTTTCGCCTATGCACACACACACACACACACACACACACACACACACCTGAACAATACGCTCACCGGGTGATTGGTGGTGGTGGCGGTGTTGGTGGTGGTGCGACGTGTCGACGACGCCTCGGCGCCGTGCGGTCGAAAACCGATGGATTGGCCGCGGCGACGGTATTGATTCCACTGGCGGTGCGCGCGAACACCGCCACTGTCGGCTGAATCGCGCGCGCCTGTGTCGGCCGCCGGCGTCGGCGTCAGTGGCGGCGGCTACCCACGCGTTAGCCGACCGCGCGCGCTTCGAACAACCTCTTTCACCCCCAGAACCACCACCCATTCACCCACCCACTCACTTCTAATATACGGCTTCCTCGCAACCAAACACATCCACCCGCACCAGCCTTTGCCACACGTATATACCAATTATTATTATTATTATTACGTTCACACGCCGCCGCCGCCGGTGTGACGGTGGTGCGGGCGCAAACGCACACCGAGAAAAGACTCCTGGCGACACCACCGCATATGTGTGTGGGGTGTATAGAGCGACGGCCTAACCGTAAACGTTTCTCACTCCTTTCCCGTTTGCTCTCCTCCTGCACACCCAGCCCTGCCTTTGGGGTGGGGGAGGGGCTGTTGTATCGCTCCGCCGAATCCGACTCGCGCAGTCGCGCGTGTGTATTTCTTACCTGCGCGCGCACCGCAGTATATACGTGACAACCGGCAACCAGCGACCAGCACGTGAGCGCGAAAGCTCAATACGCTCCGCTAACGCTCCAAGACAACACGCATACATATGAAGCTATGCTTACACGTACGCGTACTGCAACACACCACTGCACACCCACGCCTACCCACACCTATCATATTCGCGTGCATGTAGAATAACCAACGTACCTATGCATGCTGTTATCGAAAGTGTTTCAAATTTTTCCCATCGAATACGAGACGCGTTTTAATTCGTCATAATTATTGTACAATATCATAATATTGTGATGATGCGCCAGTGAAGAATAATTACCGTTATCATTGTTTTTGATTTCACCACAATTCACGGTGAAAGTCCAGCAATAACACCGGAACATTTGTTTAGTTCTTCAAACGGCGAATTGGTAATATTACGATTTACTAAAGATACACTAACGATAAGATATTCCAAAAATCGTTGTAAAAACGTCATTTTATTCACATAAATTAAATAAACACTATAAATCGCAATATAATCCATTCAGTTCATATTAATAGTGGGCAACCGTTAAGATTTGAAAAAAAATAGTGGTCCAAATATTATAATATTATGTTGAAAAAAAATTATCTCATGTACAAAGATAGAGAGTGAGATTATAAAATATTTTTCAATATGATATAATTATTGAAAACTGTTTTTGAAAAAATCGTAACGGTTGCTGACTGCCAAGATGAACTTGATGGGTTATAAGTTATATATATATAATGCGATTAATTGCAACAATTTTAAAAACATAATTTATATATTATAATATAAGTTATTAAACAATCAATGAAACAAAACATAGTCAATATCCTTTTTAAATTAAGTGTTTTTTCATCTAATGCCAAGCCCAAGTTATAGCGATGATTACATATTATGAAACATTTTACTTAGTTTAAGATAATATTAAGGAAATTTTAGTATTATTTAATTTTTAAGTAGCTAAATACAGTAAAAAAACAATATTTAAGAAAATTTAAGTTCTAATTTTTTAGAATTTTAAAGATTTTAATTAATTTTAAAACGCATTTAATAAACAATTAAATATAGATATATTTTTATTTTTATAAGATATTGGTCGTTAACACTGTTAGATATACAAAAATGAAAGTTTAGTCAGTTTAGTTGTAAATTAATAGAATTAGTTTAATAAATATTTAATTAATATTATTTTACTGATAAAATTATCAATAAAAATTATTTAAAGTAGAAATATATAAATAAGTTTGTTTAATTCAAATTTATTTATTACGTTCTATATGAAATAATGTAAAATACTATACACAGATTACAATACTATACCTATATTACCTTATTATAAAATAAAATGTTGAAATATGTATATAAAACGCATTAAGTATGAATTTAAAAATATAGACATTATTAAATTTAAAATAATATCAATAATTAACTGTTGTACTTATTATTGTCAAAATATTATTTTTTGAATTTAAATTAATAAATTTGTTTAATTTTTAGAAAATGATCAAGAAAAATTAGCATATACATTTACAAATAATAGTAATAGCATAGAACCTAAAACCTCCAGTGGTTCAAAAGTAGTTGGGAAACTAGTTAAAGTCAAATTTTCAAAATCATGCACCACACCAATCATAACGCCTCTGGTAAGTAGTAAGTTTTGATTAATGTTATACATTTATAATTAATGAATGAAATATGTTCAACTATACTTTTGAATTATATTAGCAAATACGAAAAAAAGATATAAAAATTTAAATATTTAATAAAGGTTTCTTAGATGTTTTTAATCCATCATATACAAACAATATATACCTATTAAGTACTAATCTCTTAAATATAACAGTAACTTAATTATGCAACTGAAAATTACTTATAACATTTTATAGTCAGCTATTCGAAGGTTGGTGTACGCCTATACATGTATTAAAGGAGTATTTTTAATTGTAATAACAATTATTACGTGATTAAGCGATAAACAATTATATAGTGATATTACTATAAACAATATTCGTAAAATAATTTATAGCTTAGACTTAATATTATTGATAAATGTAAAGATTTATTCAAAAATATTTTTATTTATTTGTATATTTATCAACGCCTATTTAACGGCTGCTTCTAAAACCAATTGTATAGGAATATAGACTAAAACTCAATAACAGTAGGTTATTTAATGAAAACCTATAGTATCATTGCAACTATAACTTATCGAGTTAAAAATATTTAATTAATATAATTTTTCATGCAATAGAACAAAAATATCTAAATATATTAGTATACAATTTCTCAAAGAGAACCATTACAACTGTATGTGTTGTCTCTACACAAGCATAACATGATAAATTTACATGTCAAATTCTTATGGTTTTTTTTTTATAATTTATAAAAGAGAAAATGTATATACTATCAATCTTGTAAAGAAAAATACTGAACCCGAGTAAAAAAGTATTTTTGTTATTTTAATTTTAAAACGAGTTAAAAGTACTAATGATAATAATAATTACTTTCAAATTCATAATGTAACGATTTAAAATAAATACATGAAAAACTGATCAAATCCAAATTATATGTTCTCTATAAATTGATTTTAATATGTACATTTTCTCTAATATTAATCTAGTGTGTAGATTTGCCATGTTATGCATGTATAAGAAGAGACAACAAATATGATTGAAACCAGAGGCATATTGAAGTGAGGATATAAAGAATTTATTCCTCTCATGGCTATTATTTTTGCAAATCTATCCAACGTATTTGTTAGTAGTCTCATTAAGTATTTTTAGTAGAAAAGTATAATATTTTTATTCAAGTTAGTAAGTTAATAGTGAATTTAGCGATTAGTGATATTGTGATAGCAATTACCATCGTTTAACTATACCACATCACTACAATATAATATAATAATTTAAAATATTTGTAGATTATTTTCATAAGACATTTGTACACCTTATTAAATTTCTATGTATTAACTTAATAAGGCATAGGTATATAGTTTAAAGTTTCGTATTATTTATATTTTTAATTTTAATCTTTGTAAAAAAATCTACAAAATATTTAGTATAAATGATATTTTGTAAATTTAAATCAAAAATTATTTATATAGTTATTATTTATGTATAAAAATCAAAAGTAAAGAAATACTTTTTAGTTAAAATTATAATATTCTAAAGTTGTTTATTTATTAATTAACCATAAATAACGTACAATTCAAAATTAGTTATCTTAATAATTGTGTTTTTATTAACATATCATTTTTTTTTAAATTTATCAAGTAACTTATAAGACGAGCGACTTTTTCGGTCGCGCTCATACTATCTCTTTGGATTTTTTGGTAGTTCGAATTGCTTCCAATTAATATAGTAAATCCACAATTTGAATATTATTTCACTTTAAATAATTATTTCACATTAGAAAAAAGCTCGTTAATCGTAGAGTACCAACCTTAATTTATTTAAATTATTAAAACATCCATTATTTTATCTTATTTGATATATATTTTTTTTTATCAAATTTAAATACATTAAAATGTTTTCCCTCCTTTGCTTAATATTAATTATATATTCTTATGATAAATAAATGTTAAAATGTCCAAACGTAATAAGTTATTTTTTCTGATATAATCTGCAACAATAATCAGTGAATCTCCACGAATAATTTGAAAATAAAATCAGTATAATAGTCGATACTTATGTTGATTTTTAATATGGATATGGGATAGAATGCAATTCGGGGAATACATCTAATTAGCATAATTGAATTCTAAGCAATTCGTACAAAATAAGTTAACCAATATAGATTTAAGAGGCAATAATTCTAATGCACCAAACTTTTCATTGGTATAGGAAGTTCATTTAAATCAACAGGTAGTAGTAGTTACGCCGGCACCAACCGCACGCGTACAATTCTGATTATTCTCTCTCTCTGACTGCATCTGTATATGTTTCGACAAACAAGGGGTAAGACCCATTGCTAAGATAGACAACAGGTATTTCTCAGGCTATTTGAACTATAATATGATTTTATGAATGTTTAATAATGCGAAAAGTTTGTATTAAATTTTAGACAATATTATGATAAATGAAGAGATGATAATATATTATACTGATAAGATTTAATAATTTATTAACTCTTTTCTCTTTTTTCATTATTTATATCGTTTCAGTTAATATTTATTCTTAAAAATAAATTGTTGTAATACTTGTAAGTCAGAGTTGTAACATATATTATGATACATATACAATGGAAAGAAATTTAAAATTTTAAAATTTTAAAATTGTTTTGATGTTAAACTTATTTGGAATGCTTCGAATAACTAATATTTAACTAGATATTTAAAATTATTTTATTATACATAACTAAACAAAATAATAATCTTTTAACAATTAGTATTTAATAAAGTCACTATAAATAATAACTGTTTCAATACATTATACATAAATTTGTTTTGAACTTTTATTATTAGACATTTCAGTTAAATATACATTTTTTAAAAATCTGCAGCATAGTGATTTGCCTGAATTTATAAAATAATGTAGATAGCAAAGTTAATGTTCTATTATTAAGTAGGTATACCTATATTATTAAATATAATATTGAACTTACATTATCTATTAATAATTCATTTATATATATATATATATATCTAAAGTTAAATATTAAAAAAAAATTATAACTCAAATGATTTTAATCGATATTTGTTTTTAAGCTTTTGATTTTGTTGCTAACAATGTAACAGCTCACAATACTGTCATTAACGTATTTATTAAACATACAAGATAAATTGTATAAAAATTCGATCATACATACCGTAAGAAAATTTATTTGTACATGTCTTGTAAAATGAAATGATATTACTATTATCAAAAGTGTAGACTTGTGTAGTGTTATCCTGTTTTATAGATAGCGGCTTAAATAGGTTAATGTATAACAATAAATTAACATTCTGGAAGACAATACAATAAAATTAATAAGAGAAGAGTAAATCTAAAATTCAAAACATTAGCGCTATCTGGGAGTGTTTTTTAAATTAAATGAAAATAGTCATCTAGCTACTATACTAAGAAAATTATAAAATTCGTTTCAGTAACGCAACAAGTTTATTTAAAAAACATCTAACGTATTTGGGTTCAGGAACAAAATTTATTTTTTTTTAATTGATAAAAGCTGCTTATTTCTCAACCGGCTACGATAATAAAATTATCAAATTATCTGATACTCTGCCCACATATATCTAAAATGCTATAATAGGTATCGATTACAATTGAGACGGAAAAAACACTTCATAATTAAAAAAAAGTGTAGTACAGCCGTTTACCATTGATGCAAAATATATACCTACCATCAGTGTCGGAATGAGTGAGTGGATGAGAAAGAATAGGGGACTCTTATATTGACTAAACACACACTGAAGTGAGCAAGAAAAGAGCTCGGGGTACGTTGAACGGAAGAATCCTTACAGGTGCTTGTTATGTAGCCTCTGAGTATGTACCGTATGTCTAGCTGTGTATATAAAGTTTATACATTAAAAAAAAAATATATATATATATATATACTAGAGTGGTGGTGGGAAGTTTAAAGAGGAGAAGGGATGATATTGTGGAGGTCGGTGTAGTAGGTGAGGTTTACTGACCCACGGCACCGTATTGATCACCGCCCCCTCAGTGTGGCTACCAACCCTTCGGGGTGGTGGTGATCTCCCTTATCATCGACACGAGTGGTCGCACGTCAACGTATTGATCCCCCACTCCTTAAGTTCCTCTGTATGTACTTGCTTATATATATCAAAGCCTTACAATGTTATATACTGTTGTGAGGTTCTGTACAGTTTTTCGACTACAATCGAAAATGTGATTCTTATTTGACACTAACCATTCTCTTATTTTTCTCATATTACATGACCATATTTTATAATACATAGTCCCGAAATTGAATATACCATATGAATATAATTCGCATTTATGTTAGTGTTTTATGTAAGCAATAATAAAACTGTTTTACATAGAAGTTTTATAGAGAATGAACTAAAAAAAATGACTAAGAATGATTAACAAAAACTTATACAGAAAATAATATTGCTTGAGAGGAGGGGAGGGAGGTTATAAGAAATTAACTTAATATTTCTATCGTTAATAAATAAATGTTGTCAATTTATCGTTAAGATATTAATATGTTATCATAAAAGTGTTTAATATGAATCTTTATAAAAATTAGAAAGTTCTTTGTATATAATGTATAATATATGAATATTTTTTTTTAAAACATTTCGGGTGTTGGGAGTGTGAATATTCGATCATTTTATATATAGGTACATACGTATCTAAGCAGATATGTAATTATCTATCAATTATATTAAAATATCTCATAAATACGTAATAGGCAGTGGTGTATTGGTAAATAAACTTATAAAGAAACACGCCTAAAACTTAAAAGTAGTTAAATAAGTATACCCAAAAAAATGTTCTCGCTGTGCTCGAAATATCTTAACGCTTATAATAATGTTTTATTACAAACACTTACTTTTCACGTATGTATGTATCAAAGTAAATAACTTTTAACTAGCACACTTTTGAAATTTAATTTTGGTAATTAATTTTTTATAGTTTTTAAATGTATTTACTTTATCCAACAAATATTCGCATAATTG